GAAGTATTTAAAAGACATGTAGATGAGGTCCTTAGGACATGGTTTAGTTGGCATGGTTGGACTCGATGATCTTAGAGGTCTTTTCCAACCTTAGTGATTCTATGATTCTATGAAAGTAAAACAGTCCTCTGACTCTTTGCCGAAAGGAGATAAAATGAATTAAAGAAAAGAAATGCCTAAGGTTTGGAAAACAGAAGAATCTTTGCTTTCATGACAGTTAAAAGTGAACAAAAATACAGGCATGAGGTGGAAATAATTTTTTAAATTGTGTAAATTGCATAAATAAATCAACCATGTGATTTAACAAATAATTGAGAAATCAATTTTGCAAATAAAGGAATCATTCATAAAGATTAGTAAAAAGCTGTGTTCAAAGACAAATTGCTTCCATTTCATTTCCATCTCGTTTGCTCTTAAACTTAATCACACTTCTTATATACCCTGTTGTAAGTTGAATATTTTGACTGCACGCATATTTTAATCAGCACTACTTTGTTAGGCACAGATCATGGCTCCGTGGCCTGAGGTGGAAAAGCCTGAAACCAATAACTATATTGGGGACTCTTCCAAACAAAACCGGAACATGGCTGGGAAAGAAGGAGAAAATCACAAAGGTAATGTGTGCTCACCTGTGAGTTACAGAGATGTATAAGTTTTGGGGCTCCTTGGAGAAGATAGGAAGTAATTAAACCGTTTTTTTAATGTTGTATTTCATCAGGCAACGTGGCTTCACTTGGAAATAAAGGGGAGATTCAACCTGCATTTTCCACAATAGCCTTGGTAGATGAGACAAGGCCAGAAGACGACGACCCATGGGCTCTGCCGGAACTGCAGGACACTGGGGTCAAGTGGTCAGGTAGCCATTTCTCAGTAAATAAGTTACCTGCATTTATTTTTTCCATCACTTCTGCTCTCTTTGTCTCAGTTATTTTTCTGAAATGTTATTTGCTGAAGAACTGAATGTAAGATTTAAGGAGTTTTCAGATGTAGGCTTTACACTCTGTTTCACCTTCCCCAACAATGAATGGGGATATTATGTTTAGTCATTTAAGAAGAATCTGGAAATCACACTGCTTACCCTCCTTAAAACACAAGGAGATATATGGAAAACAATCCAAAACTAATATGGTTTTATATCCAGGTTCCTATTAGTCTTTCTTTACTCAGTAGGATGACTGTGTAAAACCGAGGGTTAATCTCAGACTTCATAAGGCTTTTGTCATATACCAAAAGCTTTTATGTGCTAAAACTAGGTAAACAAACTACCTGCTTCTGCAGCTAAGATCTGATTAAGAAGAACATTCTTTCGGGTTTAGTCACAGACTGGGGTCACAACACTGTCTTTAACTCTGTAGCCTCTGCTTGTGCGCTAGGCTGTTCCAGAGAGAACACCAGATACATCAAGCAAGTCTTTTATGCATAATGTATTTGTTTTGCAGAACTGGATAGAAAAGGAAAAATCATTCGTGTACTCTACGGGATAGGGAAGTTTATTATGCTACTTGGATTACTCTACTTGTTCGTGTGTTCTCTGGATGTACTGAGCTCTGCTTTTCAACTGGTAGGAGGTATGAAAATGTCTAAAATATCAAGAATAAACTATGAATGAGGCAGTAAATTTCATCCGAGTGACTAAATTACAAGTATCAGTCTTCAAGAACATTCTCCATAGATTTATGTGTAGAGGTATAGATTTAGAAGGAAGTAGCTCTGATTGAAGACTGACCTTCATTTGTTTGAAAAGGCCTTTGTTTCTCAACTTCCAAAGAGCTGTTGATGTAGGGATTATTGGCCCCGACTTCTTAGTAGGTTCCTGTTACTTTAGTGACAGTTTACATGAATACATCTGTGCATAAATCTGTCCCATGTGAAAGACATTTCAACAAGGTGAAATATGAAAATTGCGCTCTTCATCAAAGCATCCAGCACTGAAATGTCCCCCGAATCTTTCAAAGATGAAAACTGTTGAAATGTATTTTTTACATTTACCTATCTCCAAGGGTTGAATTCTGCTGATGGATTCAGAAGCGGTTATCAGAGAAATATGTGAGCTTCTGTGGAAGTATTTTGGATTTTTGGCAACACAGAAAGCTACAGGAACAGAATTACTCAGGACTACTAAAATAGTTTTCCTTGATGCAGTAACCAAAAATATCAAGGCAGTAATAGCATTTAAATCTATGCATGTGTGTTTTTTTGTCCTACAGTCTTTCCTCTGATGGCTGTGGTTTTATATGGTTCTTTGCAGAGTTCAGTAGAGCTTGGTCAGTCACTGAAATGAGAGAATATGAAGTATTCTCTGATAACTGAGAAGCTGAGAGTTCAGGACCTGAATTTGGATCCCTGGGCTACATCACCTTGTACATTTTTTGGCTGGCAAGCATGGCTATATATGTATCAATTAAATGGTTGAATGATCTTTAATTAAACACTCTGATAATTCCTATGGACTTTACCTTGCATTTCCCTCACTCTGAGAATATGGTTTTTGTAGGTAAAGCAGCAGGGGACATTTTTCAAGATGATTCAGTGCTGTCTAATCCTGTTGCGGGATTGGTGATTGGAGTTCTGGTGACTGTTATGGTCCAGAGCTCCAGCACTTCTTCATCCATTGTGGTCAGCATGGTGTCCTCCACACGTAAGTCTGCTTACAGTATCTTCCTAGAGATCACTCATAAATCTTGTTCTGGGGTGCAAACATTCCCACTTGTGTTCAAGTTGTAGAAGCTTTGGGTGTAAGAGTAGAGACTGCAGGAAAAGATTTTCACAGCTGTTGCCCTGATACAAAATATTTAAAAGTAGTAGTAATAATAACAATAACAATAACAATAATAACAGAAATAGTAGTAGTAGTAGTAGTAGTAATAGTAAGTCCATAACTGCAATGAAAACCGTTGGAAACCTTGGCATTGAACGCATTAATTTTGGAAGTATCTGCATACTTTTCTCATGTTACCCAGTTACTGAACTTCATTTGTTTGTGTGGCATCATTTCAAAATTCTGCAGTAAGTAGGAAAATGCCTGGAAAAGAAGAGATTTTATCTTGTTCTGGCCCTCTAACATGTGGTGAAAAGGGATAACCATGGGCTGCACTTTCAGTGGGGATCACAGGACTATGGGAGTACCACGTTCGCAGGGGGCTTGATTAAAGCAAACGTATCTGGATTGGAGTGCCTAATCCCAGTGACACCAAGGGAGGTCAGGCTTCTAGTGATATTAACAGATGCTAATTTTCATTGGAGGAAAGAGCTTGCTGATGATCTGATTTTTTCGTTCAGTGCTTCCTTTTCTGCTTTCTAGTGCTGAGTGTTCGATCAGCTATTCCTATCATAATGGGGGCAAACATTGGCACCTCAGTTACAAACACGATTGTGGCACTTATGCAAGCCGGGGACAGGAATGAATTTAGAAGGTATTGTACTTGAACACTAGATCTGAAAAGTTGCTTTTCTTCCTTCTTTGCAGGTTTTCTTCTATATTCCCTATCACTACTACCGCCATTCAACCTTTCCATTGACCAAAATTTGAATGTCTAGTTAGGAAAGTCATAAGCATGGCCATGGCCAAGGTATAATGCTGTCTAGATATATGGCTTCGTATACTTGAAGAAAAGCATATTGTGTTCCTTTAAGAGTTTTGTGTTTTTGTAAAAATCCACCATTTTTAACTGGACCTTGCACAAGGATAAATTTTCAACGGCTCCCACTATACCACCCATCTTTGATTATCTCTTAATTATGGGAGGGCTGTACGAGAAGTTAATATTACAGTATTTTGGTCTACTCTCCTTAAAAGGCACTTCAATGTTGAAGGTTTTTTAAGCCTACAGTAAGCAAGAGCTGGTAACTGTAGAGAAATGAAGTGTTCTGGCTGTCAGATATATACAGTGACAACTTTTAGACTGCCACTTGACACTATCACTGAGAGAGCTCATGGCTCATGAGCTGGAGATGGGCAGTAAACTTGGGAGGGAGATGAGACTTTGGTACCTTGTCATTTATGGCATACTAGACGTATGAAATACACTTAGCCAAAGTATATTTCTCCAATATTTACTGTCCTGAGTCTTTGGCTGTGCTATTCTCTGTTACTTAAATTCTAATACCAAAGTAGCCTATTAGTATCTGGTCAGGAAAAGAATTTAAATAATAATGAGAAAGAAGTTGATTTTTAACATTCATTGACATTATTAATGATCACTTCAGTCTGTAAACTGAAGGTGGTAGCACTGTCAATTTTGTTGGCCTGCTTTGAATGTTCCCCCTGATTTCCCCTCAAGCAGTTTGTCAGTAGGAACCTAAATTACAGGATTAGTATTTCAAAGAATTTTTCCTTCATGTTTTCTTCCCTCACAATGCTTAATTTAAGGAGCTGTATTTTAAAACAAATACAGGTAAATGGCAGAGAATTAAGAGGACCACAATCAGCTATAGTGCCTCTGAGGGAAGAGCTGTGGCTCCTCAGGCTGTGGAGGGGAAGCTGGAAGGGAGCTGTACACCAACGGTTTGCAAGAACATGTAAGAGGGCTGCAAAGAGTCACCTTCCCCCATGAGGCAGGGAGAACAGGTCCCAGATGCAACGCCTGCTGAGGATTAAAAATGTACCAAAAATGGGTGAGAGGGAAAACAAATGTAGGCTGTACAGCCACTTCTTTCTTCAGACAAGTACTCTTGGCAGCCTCGTGTTAAGGATCACTTTTGCCTTTTCTAGTTTGTCTTGTTTCATTCACCTCCCTGGCTCTTTCACTCGGTCAGTGGTGTGGAGACAACTTAGCACTCTAGAGCAAAGTAGCCGTCTCCTGTGACCCCAGAAATGAAATGATTCCCATCTTGAAATGGGCTTCATCCCCACCTCTATGATTTCATATTTAATTGATGTTGTGCGCATGTTGTTTAATTAAAAGCAGCTCTGTTTTTTAATTTCTTCTTGCAGGGCCTTTGCTGGGGCAACAATCCATGATTTCTTTAACTGGCTTGCTGTGTTTGCATTGTTGCCCATAGAAGTTATTTCTGGCTATCTTTACCATCTCACCAATGCTATAGTTGAGTCCTTTCATCTTGAAAGTGGTGAGGATGCCCCTGAGCTACTAAAAGCTATCACAGACCCCTTTACAAAGCTCATCATTGAGGTAAGCTCTTTCTCTATTCAAGGAAGCTGCTTACTTGGTTCAGTCACAGCTAATTAAAATGCTCTGAATATGAGGGGGGCTCCCACTCACTTCTTTGTGTCCTTGGGGTAAAGCTCATTAGCAGATGGATTCTTCTTTTTATTCACATTTCATAAAGCCCCAGCTCTGTATTTCCTGTTTCCCCCATATTTTACCTTAATGATGATAGATCTAGCTAGGAGGACTGGGAAGGCAGGTGAGGACAAATACCAACACGTGGGATGGATGGGATGGCAGCCTGTTGCCTAGACGTTGGCAGATCGTACTAGCTGAGACAACCTAGCACACCCAGAAGATCTGCATAGGATCTGCATAGATGACACAGAAATTACGGGAAACTTGCACACGTCTGGAGGGGCAGAGGGAGGCCAGAGGGATGTGCACAGCTCCTAAAATGACAAGTAAACACATTTAGGCAGTTGTGTCAGTGTAGTTGTTTAAAACAGAAAGGGTGAGATGAGGTGGAGGGTGATTTGGGGAGAATGAGGCACAGTGTGTGCGCGCATAGAGTTGTACCTTTTTTGGGGAATAAACCCCCTCCTACCTGTTGGGCAGCAGCTCCAGCATTAGAGATGGTCATGCAGGCTTTACATGTCTGAGCTTCCAAAGGGAGTTATTTGAGTAGAGCTGAAGAGAAGTGTGTGATGCAAATTGGAATAATCTTTTTTTTCCTTCCTTTTTTTCTTTTTAAAGCTTGATAAATCAGTAATAAATGCAATTGCTACAAATGATGAATCAGCAAAAAACAAAAGCCTGGTAAAGATTTGGTGTGTAACTGAAGCCAATATGGTGAGTATCATGCTGAATTCATTGTCAAGTTCCTCAGGAAATATATTACTGATCTGTAGCTGACACTCCTTACCTTAGGATTGTGAAACTAGATTTTTAAATGAGGTTTTTTTTTTGCGGCAGAAAAAGAATGAAAACAATTCGATGTAGTTTTTGCTCCACTTAAACCAAGGATGTCATACCAGTGGTGAGCTTGACCTGGTTGCTTTCGGTACCATGCGGGCCCTTGCTTATCAGAACTGGTGGTTTGGAGCCAAGCCTTTTACTCCTCTCACATCCAAATGCCTTTAAGCTCCGACTCCCTTAAAGTGGAAAAAATCTGCAATATAGGCCAAAGAAAAGATCTTTTTGCCCACCATTTATCTATTGATCTAACCAGCTTTAGCCTTATGTGTGTTAGGGTCATCTGGTGGCAGCTGGTTATTTGCAACTTTCTTGGAAAACCGTCCTCGGAGAAAGCCTCTGCAGGGCTGGGTCCCATTGTTCTTCACCCAAGCAACACTGCAGCTTGAAGGAATCTGTTGCCCAGATTGACACCAATGAGTATTTTGGTAAACTGTGGAGCTGAGTGTTTGGTTTGCGTTGTTCAGCTAACTAACAATTAGAACATTAAATATCCCTTGGATCTCCAATTAGACTATTCTACTTGTTGGTATGTATAGAAAATTAATTCCCGAAGTCCTGAGGCAGCAGATACTTAAGGACACACAGCGAAGGTTAAAATTAAGAGCTTGGGTTTTTAGAGGAGCCCAGCTCCTATTGAATGACAGTCTGGATGGCGCGTGAAACGCTAGCTAGGGAGATAGTGCGAGGAGCAGAGCTGTGCTGATGTGAAACTCTGCTCAGGTTACGCTGCTGAGGAGCTGGGTGTTTCATCTCAGGGGAGGACGATGCTTAGGCAGCTGTACTGCTTCCAGGCCCCCAGCCCGCACTCGGCCACCCCTTCGCCGCGCTGCCCAGGCGGGCACAGCCTAGCTCTCAGTGAGGTCTGAGCCCCCGAGTCCTACAGGCCCCCCACTCTTAGAAGACAAGCAACTACATGGAAAGTGTAAACTGAGGGTTACATTTCCACATACACAATTTTTTCTGTTTGTCTATATTTTGGCTGTGTAACTACTGCCCAAGCATATAGTCAAATTACAAAAGCACATGAAACCCCTACGAGCTTGTCTTGAACTTGATGGGGGAAGAGGAAGGTCATTTAAATGATATACCTTCCTAGTGAGTTAAACTCATTTCTGGCAAAAATGATTAAACAGACTTATGGCAGGGATAAATACATGCAGACCCCATATCTTTAAAGCAAAACATATGGATAAACATTTTGATCTAATGCAGCTGCTTTGAAACTCAGACGTCTGAAAAAAATTCAGGAAGGTGAGAAACAACATTGTGTTGTGTTTGTAAAGGCTGATGTGTAGGGGCAGGCTGGAGAGCAGGCGCTCCCTGAAGATGTGGGGGCACTGGATCCACCCCCGGCTTTGCCCATCTGCATCGGCTGGAGGGGGAATGCGAATGTGGGTGTCCAGGCAGTGCCCAGCAAGAAAAT